TTCTGATTGACGAATTGCGTGCGTATAATTGTATCTTCCAGATATTTTTGTTTACTTGCGCCATATTTGTACGGCACTCCGCATAAATGGGGGGAACCCAAAGGGAAAGAAGGAACTCCAACGGGAAAGGGAGACGCGACCGCTCGTCTCTGCCATACAAAACTTTAATTGAGGAACAGCTGTAGATAGGCGCCGCCGCCGCCGCCATACAAAACCTTTGCCGGTTCACGCTCACGACTCACGCAACAGACAAGAAAATGTCGGATGTCTTTGAAGTTTATTTCATCTGTATATCTGTACATATGAATGCATACGTGTGTACCTACATAGGTACTTCTTCATGTATGCTCTGTATTGTCTGGGACTGTGAAAACTGATTCGTGAGTCTGTAATTAGGAGAACAAAGTAGGGAAACTGATATGAAATCTGATTACAAAAGAAGAACAGAGCAGAGACATATGTATGTACAACATATTTACATATTTATGTACATATCTAACTCCGTGTAGTATCTAAGCTTAGATCTAGCTAATGGATACAAATATACACCATCATCATCAGCGACGGCTTACGAATTGAATTAATTCATACAAAAATGTATTTTATGCGTAACGTAAACAGTACGAATGGTAGAATTAAAGGTGTGCAAAATTACACTTTTGTAAGTTTTTAATTATTTGTAGACCTTTATTAAGTGCAGTTTTTGTTTATTTTAAAAATGCGGCTGCATGTATCTATGCAAATGTCTCAGAACACGGACGAATGTCGCGAAACATAGTCCCCAGCAACATTTCAGCAGAAAAGTGTCTGCAAGCAGTTCTTGAACTGCTTTTTTTTCTGTACATGCCCATGCACTGCTTTTGGTTGTGTTCTTGGCTAGAATTTATATTTTGTTTGGTCAATATACTTGTTAAACGTTTTAACACTTGAAGCCTAAACACTATTAAAATTTAAAACAAAAAATGTGATTATTTGTTTGTTTGTTTGCTGTAGGCAGATTAAATATAAAGGGTTTAGTGGAATTAGGCCTGGTGGCGCCACTAAAAAATGTAGCAGGAATGTGGTAGGCATGCATCACAACTACAGGCTCATGTAGATACATCTACATGCAACACAGTTAGCAATATTTTGAAAATGCTGGAACGCTGTTCTGGTTGGAGATCATTTTCCAGTGAGATTTGGATAGTTTTGAGGAGTTTCCATCCTAGATAGAGTTACTACTCTGGTCTTCATAGTGCTCCCATAAATAATGGAATCATAAGTTTCTTTGTGCAATTTTTCTACTACACAAAATGAAATCACGTATGGCTATCCATTCCATGACCGTGAACACTGCAGTACAGTGCACTGGCAGAGGCGGAGGCAGAAGCACCGGCAACGCCACCGCACTCAAGATGTGCTACGTCGAGCGGTGCAACGTTTTGTGTGTCGTCCGTGGATGCCATGCCTCCTCCTCACATGCCTTTTTGGCGGTCTCTTTGACACAAAAATCCGCGGTGGATGCCGGGGCTTTCTGACTCGGTCGTTGTGGTTGGTGGTTGGGTAGGGTCGGATCTCCTCTTTTCCGTTCTGGCCGTACATATGTTTGATTAAAAATTAAAATTATCATTTACGGCCCATTTAAACCAAACCGACCAAAGATTTTTTCGCATTTCGCTCTCATTTTCAGAATTTTGATACACAGGCATTTTTTCATTAGCTGCTTGTGTCCCGCAACAACAATAACTCAAACATTGTATTCACTTTTGTCTTTTAGATTGTAAGAGATTTTCAATAGAGTTGATTAGCCGAACAAGTCTCTGCAGAGATTCAAGGGTTGATTAGCAAAAATCAAGACGAGATTTGGCGGCTTCTTAATACAGATAAAAATATAACAAAATTTGCATAACAAAAATCGATTGCTTTTTATTTTTAGGATTATATTTTTGGTATTGGCAACCATACATTTCCCTTTGTTGGACCTTATGTACGAAAGCAAAGAGACCCAGAAACCAAAAAACAAAACCGATTCAGGCATAATCAACTTAATCATAAATTAACAATAAAATTCGTGGCCAGCGCCGTCGCCTTTTGCAGATAAATTAGTCAAAGCGACACGCCATAAAGCATTCGGTGGACTCATAAATCCCCATAGCCTCACATGAGGGTGGGTATGGGTATGGGGATGGGATGCCTTTACGGTGGTTCTCAGTGGCGGTGGCACATTAACATATTGATGTTAACCTCTGGTTCGGGGCACAGCACTGATCTAGCCGCCACTAGTCGGTCAGGTTTGGTTTTTGGCGCTGATTTCATCAGGGTTCATGGAAAGAGTACAAGCAACAATCAACAAGGTTTATGCATAGAAATGAGGCATTTAGAGGCGACATCTGAACATCCATAACTCATCCAGCATACCAGACCAGAGCATAGCATATCCAAAAATGCTCGAACCCATTTCCAATTGCCAGCGCCACGTCTTGGTCTATGGAGATCGGTGGCATTTGCCGGGCCATTAGATCAGGCCCGTGTGGTGGTGTTGCCAGCCATTCGGAAACTGTTGATTTGGGTCACAATTAATTGCTTTTTGAGCGCCATAAATATATGGCCAGAAGTGGCCATCACAACAAAGGGCGCGGCGACAACATAAGTGCTGACCTCTATGATGACTTGCTGATTCCCGATGGGTATCATATCACATCATTGTGTCAGCATGAGTATGATTTCATCTGTGGCTGTGTTATGACAGGAATAAAATATGTACAGAATGTACTTTATGTACTTTATGAAACACTCTTAATTTCTGTAGAAATTAGCTGCATTTTGTCCTTCAACAATCAGCTTCCTCGGATGGATGGAAACTTCCTTTCAGTTCTCCTGCGAAGTCTAGTTAATGCGAATATCACGCTTTGATCCAATGTTTTGGCTTAACTTCTCCCGTGTTTATCTTTAACATAAGGATAATGTAATGTAATCCCTTCCAGCTAAAGGCTTACTCAGCTATTTCCAGCCATGCCATGCCGTACCCTTCCATGCCATTCCCTTCCCCTTTCGTCTGGGCCAGGACCAGCACGAGCACCAGGCCCAGGGTCGAGCAGTAATTTGCGAATCTCTAGCTCTGTCTCTCAGTTGGCTATAAACACACGGTGTGGATTAAGGATACGGCAGCGGCGACAGAAAGGATAATTCGCCAACCGACAATGCAGCGCGGACAAAGGTGTTTTGTTTTTATGACTTTGTAACTCCTTCGCCAGGCTTAAGGCTGTACACCTACGAGCATCTGAGTAGCTCTGCTCGTGTTTGCGAAAGGATAACTTTACGATCGTTATGGTTGAGGCCGGAGCAAGGGTAGGGGTAGGAGTATGAGGGTAGGAGGCAGGTACCGTGTCCGGCTAAGTGGACACAATAGAACGCCTATTCGCGAATGCGAATTCTGCGAGAGAGAGAGACAGAGAGAGAGAGAGAGAGTTCGGCCCTGCGGACTGTGTTGACAAAGGCGGGCTTTATTTTGGCTATTTAAAGGATTACGCTAAAGGATTGACTTTGCAGCCTTGACTCATCCCATTCCCCGTCTGCAGACGAATCCGCCCACAAAGACACTTTCCGCGAATCTGATCCTCGCCTGTGGCCTAAGCAGTGTCCTTAGTCTTTCCACTAAAGCGAAATTCGAATAAAAAGGATAAAAAACGGTCGGCAAAGGCTTCGATTCGCAGAAGGACGTTAGAAGAGTTAACGTAACTCTTTCGCAATTTACACGTAAAACATTTACTACTCCCCGAGAATTGTAAAAATATTGCAGGGAACATTTTTGACTCTTTCCCTGTTGAAAGTTGACTCTTGGAAAAATCATAAAGTCCTTTGTAGTATGCTTGCTTAATGTTAGCTAGAGGTTTAGGTATAGATTAGAAATGGCCAGAGATTTGTGGGAAATACTTTGGAAGGGGAGAATTGAATTGGGAATTCATCGGAAAGCCTTTGAGAATTTTACATGCTTAAGCAATACGGCCTTCAGTATCCTTCCAAAAAGTAGGAAAAGTTCTGTAAGAATTGCAGAAATGATCAATTAATTCAACCTTATTACTTTAGATAGAATTTGGCCCATTTTTTCAACCTCTATCGAAATCTATTCGGCACCCACAGATGGTGTTTCCCTGCTCTCTATCCTCTATCCTGTGCCACAGTCCACTCTTATCTAATGAGTCGTATAAATGATGCCCCAGGAAAATGCGCGTGCACATGGCTCCTTTGACTGTGACTGCTGTGCCTCTGCCGCTTTCTTTGTATCTGTATCTGGCAACGGCTTCGACTCTACGTTGCGTTACCCATAACTGTCATGGGTGTGCAATGAAAAATGACCAATCAATGTCTCACTTGAATAGATGGGTAAACAGCGTAGGGCTGCCGGTCGCACCGGGGGGATGCGGTGGTAGATAGACCCCGTTTTTCCGACCAAAATGTGACATTTTCCTCCAGCCAAAAAGAGTGCATTTTATAGAAAATCTGAGAGATAGGGCGAACGTTCGCCTGGAAGGGGAAGGGGCGATTTCGATGAGAGCAAGAAAATGCAGCTGCTCGAATTTGCACGATTCGTGCTTAAATCGAAGCGTTTGTTTTTCGTATTTATTGAGCATCGATTTTTCGGGTGGTTGCCAGAGTCAGAGTCAGGGATATAGAATTCGTAACGTATATATTTATCTATCATTTGTGGACCTTTTGTAGGTCTGTGCATGGAATATTTGGTAGTATTTCAAAATGTTGGAGGTGACATGGTAAAAGAAATACTTTCAGTCAGATGATGTTAAAGTTCGATGAGTTTTCCTAGTCAATTGATTTATTTTGAACTGAATATTCATTTGACTTTATTTTCCCATAAGCGAGGAGGATGCTTCAAACCCTCCAATATCCTTATATCCTTTCTTTGCAATAAAAATTCATTATTTCCTTTCTTTTGTTCTCTTGTAAATTCGATTATTTGCAAAAATATATTATATTTAAATAAATATTAATATTGCTAATACAACTAAGAGTAAATGTACAGTGAAGCACTTTCGTTTGCTTAACAAAAAACATGTGTGTGTGTGTGTGTGTGTCAGTCTCCAAGATCTTGAATCATTATCATCGGTTGGTTGTTGGTTGGTTGTGGCCCGCAGATAATCGATCGCTGAGAACCCATCATGGCCAGCCACTGGGTTCGGCTCGCGGCAGTACGGCCCGGCAAGGAGCCTCTGCCCCTCGCTGGCAGTGTCCCTGCGCAGGCGCACAGCGCACTCGTCCTGTGCTGTGCCCGAATGATGGGCACCGTAGGGAGTGCGCTCTCCTCTGTGTGCGCGCCTTGCAGCGCGGTTGCAGCTTCGGTCTCGGCTTCGGCATTTGCGTGTCACCGGCAAATGGTCGAGAGAAGTGCTTGTGTGCGTCTCGGTTCCGCTCTGTGGCAGATAGATGTTTGTGTGTTTGTGTGTGTGGGTTGGGCCTAGGGCAGATGGTGGTACAGCGCCTGGTTGGAGGCGGTCAGCTCCTGCTGTTGGTGGTAGGCACTGCTGAGACTGCACTGCTGCTGGGTCTGTTGATGATATTGCGGTGCGGCGTACTGCTCGTACTGCTGCTGCTGCTGCGTGTAATCATAGCCCTGTCCGTGACTGTGTCCAAGACCATGGCTATGGCTTTGGCTTTGGCTATGGCTGTGGCTGTGGCTGTGGCTGCTGGCCAAATAAGCGGGATACGGAGCGGTGGCATGGTAGGGCATCGTCTGTGGCATGGCCTGTGGCTGAGCGGGCATGGGCAGGGCTACGGCGGAGGTGGCTTCAAGCGGTGCCAGCAGAGCACCGTAGGCCGTGCTGCAGTGTTCGGGTGAACCCTCCAGCGAGCGGTCCTTCTTGGACTTCATGCGTCGGTTCTGGAACCAGATCTTGATCTGTCGCTCCGTCAGGCAGAGGGCACTGGCAATGTCGACGCGCCGCCGCCTCGTGATGTACCGATTGAAGTGGAACTCCTTCTCCAGCTCCAGGGTCTGGTAGCGGGTGTAGGTCTGGCGCGTGCGTTTCGAGTCTTTGCAATCTGAAGGGTACAAAAAATAAAGAAAAATGCTTGGTTAGTCAACGATTCATTGGATGATTCTATGGGGGATGGAGGCATGGGTATGGATTTGCTGTTGTGAAACGATGCCTACCTGATGAGAGACTCTCTTCGATGTGCGACCAATTGAATTCGGCGGCGACTCCGTTGCTGGCAGCTGTCACAATTCGATGATTGATCTCATGACTGACACTCGATGCCGTGGCGGACTTTACGCCGGGCGATTGGGGTGGCGTGCTGATGCCCTCCACTATGGACGTGGGCGTGGCTGGTGTAGAGGCTGGTGGTGGTGTGGCTGCCACGTATTCGCCATTCTTGTGATTCTTCTGGGACTGTGGCGAGTACACGTCGAGATAGTCGACATCCTCGGAGGCGCTGGGCGTGGGAGCTGCCACGTACTCCTGCTCGTAGCTGGGAGCGGGACTGCAGCTGGCCTTAATCTGGGCCTGGGCTGGGCTCTTCTTCACCGTCTCGAAGGTGGTGTAGAAGTAGTCGGGGGTGTACTTCAGCTTCTTCACGGGATTGGTCAGCAGCGCACGGAGTGTGCTCGGTCGCTCCTCGACGGCGGCAATGACTGCGGCTGTGTCCTCCGCCTTGCGCTTCAGTGACTTGACGGGCGAGGCGACAGGGATCTCTGGCTGCTGGAGTGCTGGCGGCATCTGTGGCACTGTGGCATCTATGGGACTGTAGCTGCTCTGGGCGTAGTAGCAGCTGCTGTCGGAGTAGCTCTCCTGGCCATAGGCTGCTCCTCCGTAGTTGCTCTGATAGCTGCTTGCCGCGGGCTGCCACTGGCTGGCGGCCACACTCTGTGTGGCAGCACTCTGATAGTAGCTGTTGTCGTAGTACGTGGGCGGCAGGCTGTGATGGTGATACATGTTGTACATGTTATCGGCGTAATAGTGGCTCTGACTGTTGGTGGTGGCCATGGCTGCTGGACTCTGTTCTGTTCTGCTCTGGGTGTGTGCGATGTGTGCGCGACGCTGATGCGTTTGCGAATGAGCTACTCCTGCCACAGATCCTGCCTAATATAGCAAACTGAGCTGCTCAGCTTCCACTGATGCCCGGCACACGCTCGTCGTCATAGCGCATAAATATCCCTGCGCATGCACTTTGACACATGCTGGGCCCGAGAACTACCCCTCCCCTGTGTCCTTGCTGGAGTTTATTGCTGCTGCTGCTGCTGCTGCTGCTGCGACAGAGGGGTAGCAGGGCAGAGTTTATCCGTTCGTGAGTTCCAGCAAGTTATCCGCTGAGGAGCCTACCTGCTGTGCTGCTTATTACCTACCCATCGCGCCCATTATCATCGCGAAGCGCTCCGAACTTATCCGAACCGAGAGCCGAGAACATTTCCCCTCCAGAGCAGAGCAGAGATCGGATCGCATCGGTTCCAGCCTTGAGCCTTGAGACGCTTGTCGTGCGCAGGACCTTGTCGTAATTATGGCCATCGATAGGTAGATGAGCTACAGATAGATGGGTGGGCGAGCGGGACGGCTGCTTTCGCATTCCTCTCTCTAATTGCAATAATCATAAAGACATAAAAAGGAACTGTAAACTGTTGCTGAAACTCTGTAGGAACAATGGGCTTTTTCCCTTCGGCCCGATTTATGGTTCGTTCTGGCCGTTCGTAAAAATTTCTCTGGATTTTTTCCATAGCTGAACCGGGAAGCTGATGCCAGTTGTTCTCAGAATCCACGCATGTAGTTTCAGCATCGATTCGGGCCTCGTCCTGAAATGGGCTGCCAAAAGGATAACATTACGTTTATTCTTGCGAGGATTGCGCGTGCTCCTGGGCCAGGGGTCGCGTGTTTGCGCTTTTTGTTTGCTCTCGCGGCCACCGGCACACAGTCCTTCAGCAAGTGCGCAACTCCCTGCCATCTCCCACTGCAGTACTCCTCCTGCTTCAGAAGCACTTGTATTTGCATAGCCCTCGCAAGTCGACCCAAAAGCCGCTCAGCTAAATTGACTGCTAAAAAAAACAATAACCCACGGATATAGCAAGCCAATTCTCGCCTACTTTTTGTGTTTACATGACTTTCTGATCGGCTTACGTGGCAGGGCAGTGGTATCATGGCAGCAGACTCACAGCCACCCCCGTAGGCCAGCCATCCCCTAGGATGCACAATATACAGTCGTAGTCCTAACATATGTGTGCAGTTGGTGCATGTGCGAATATTACCCCTGCCACAGTCGTACTCCCGTACCATCTCATCCCATCCCATCCCCCATGTGCATTGCGACAGCTTCCATTGTTGGACTAAATTTATGGCGTTTTTCAGCTTGACAGCAGAGGAATCGGACCCCGAATAGGGCCAAACAGCAGCCCACACTCTCCTCATACTCCTGTGATTGCTCCATTGGTAACGGATATGAGTTTGGTTTCTGGTTTAAGAGTAGATTTAACACTGAGAGTTCTACATATTAATCGAAATTGTTGCAAAGAAAGCAACGAATAATTCTTAAAGTAATTGCATTCCACAGTTTCATTCAGCCACATCTTTATCTGTATTTGATTGATTTCACAGGTTCTCTAGCCATAAATCATTTGATATTCCCACCATAATATGTATCTAACTTTTATTAAATTTAATTGAGCATTTATTTTACTGCCCGTAGACCACTTAACTTTCTCACTTACGGCTGATTGGCTGCCATTCGCTCAACATCACAGATTAACCCTAACCCAACCCAACCCAACCCAACACACATGGCCATAAAATGCTCTCCAAAAGAAATGCAGCAGTGCCAGGGGACAGACGACTAGGATTCAGAACCAGGACCAGGATCAAGGCAACTTTAATTGAGTTGTAAGGCCCAAGGCCCACATGCGAGTGTCCGACCACAACACACCCCAAGCCCGAAGCCAGCACGGCGACTCGTATCTCAACCCAAGAATTCGTGCGTTTTTATTGTCGAATTAATAAATTACCTTGACAGTGAATCGGGACCATCCCATTGTGTCGAAGTGGCTGCAGTGTGTCCCTGTCCCTGGACCACGCTCTCCCTGCCCTGCTGCCCTGCTGCCTCCTTCCTTCCTTCCGCAGGCGGCGTTGCACATTTTTGGCACTTTCATGAGGGTAAACCTCGCCCGAGAGACAGCTATAGAGCCAGTGGGTCGGTCAGATATTATTGATCAATGCACGGGAAGGTAGAACAGGCACGCGCCTGGAGGAGGCGAGTGTGTTAATTCCCAGCGTTGGCATTGTCACAGTCTCAATCTCTCTCTCGGCTGCCATCATCATCATTTAGCATCATCAGCTGCTGCTTTTGGTCAAGGCAGAATAATCATTAGTGGCACAAGATAAACCAAGTAAAGCAAAAATGCTGATTGAAATCAGTTGCAGAAACCATACAGATTTTTCCACATTTATTCTTCCACCAAAATTGCAGAAGTTTGCCTAAGGAAATGTTTTTTGATTCCCAATTAACGTAAACCAAACCAGAATCCCAATTAAAATTGTATAGTTTACACGATAATTACAGTATCTAGTGCCCGAATTGGTTTATCAATTGCAGAGCCTGCTGCTTGAGATCCCATTAATATTTGAGACTTCAAAGGATTTGCCCATGGAAATGGATGCCCTAGAGCTAGACCATTACATAAGACACTCCACTGGGATACTCCAGTTTCAGTTCCTACTCCAGAGTTTTGTTTGTTTTCGTGGTTTGTGTGTGGGGCTGCCGATGGTCGGTCACACGCTGTGGGGTTTGTCTTTGATGTCGATGCTGAATCTGCCTCCTGCTCCTCCTAGTGGGGAGAATCGTTAGATAGTATTGCTCATTACGCCGATGCCAAATGCTAATTGTGCGGCATCCAAGAGGGTAAACAGAGAGTCGAGGGGGAGACAATCGACTAGATCGACACTCATTATCAGAGTGAAACAGTCGACTGCCCGCTGCGTATAAAATGGTAAAGGGCCGAGAGAAATTATCAACAAACAAAACAAACAACTTCGAGTGGTGTAAATTCCCCCACAATTCCGATATCTCTATATATAGTATCAGCGTCAATCCGTCTAACACGAGTGAGAGAGTATCGCCCCAGAGGGTCTGAGAGAGAAGAGGAGGCCGGGACCCAGCAGGAGGTTTTCTTTGGAGCATCATCGATGGATCGCGGATCGGGAGTGCAATCAATTTGATTGCTTCAATCGGCGGCTAATTAGTGAGAAACATTTGGGAATTATTCAAAATTTTCCGTGTGCGTTATGCGATTTGTTTGATTTACCCATTAAAGTGCACAGATCAAGTCGTTAGTTATCTCTCTCTCTCTCTCTCTCTCTAGTGCCGAGTTCTGCCGAGGGAGGCATCAATCTGGCAGATGTTGTTGAAGACCTGCAGCGATGAAGCAATTTTCAGCTTTGGCTACCAGTGTACTGCTCACTCAACGAGGCTGCAAATCATTTTCCATGGCTCATTCGAATGCGTAATGGAAGGACAAGTCAGTGCAGGACATTTTCACTGGCCTTGGTTCAAGAGCCTGGTCCCACAGACAAGCTGCTTCAGACTCCTCTCGAGGTCACCTCATACGTTCCGGCCTTGGGCAGTCACGATAGTCCACAGTCGATGTCGACAGTCGACAGTCGACAGTCGGCACCAATCAAAGTCAAGGCTGCTCTGACGCTGTGCTCCTTTACAGTGTTTCCTCAATGTTTTTGTACAAATATTTTCCCAATGCGTCACGCGTCGCCTTCGTCCTTGGCTTCTGTTGGCTGTTCTGTCCTCTCAGCTCTCAATGTCAACTGCCTGCCAACGTCGCCTTCGAGCCGTCTCAGCCTCTGCTTCTCCTAGTATTTGTGTTGACATCACATCAGGATCAGGCAATAATTGCTCCTGTCACACTTATTCGCATTGTTGAGCCCATGATGACCTCGTAAGCTGAATGAAATGGGAATTATGCATTGACTTTGTAGCGTCTGTCTGTTTATGGCCCTGAGATATAAATTGTGAATTGTTCAACGTTCCACACTCGGTGTGAGGGCCTTGTTAACACCTTCCGTGTCAGCCGATCCAGCAGAGCTCATTCCAAGATTGATGGCTTTTTAGATCGCAATTACGGCTCATGGAAATAGAGCCAAGTGTCTGTCAATCTGTCGATAAGTATTTCGATTCTAGCTCATGGCCATGCAGGGACTCCTAATGGTAAGAAGAGCTTCCTGATACTAGCTGCCATTCGTTAGTTAATTATTTAGGATTTATATACATTTGTTTATCAGTTTTTAATGCTTGTTTTATCTCCTGTTACTGCAGAGCACAGAATGACTTTTCCCAAGAAAATCGGTCGGGATCTCAGAGAGCTGTAGGGTATTATTCTCATGCAGTTTCTTCACCTGATTTTAAGGACAATTTTGAATGTAGAAATGGAAGATTTAGTCAGCCTTACTTATCTTTGTGCACTTTCTATACGTAGATCCATCTTTAGCACTAAATATTTCCACTATCCAAGTCACCTTCGTACGCTCACTTTATCCCGTAACTATTTTACTTCATGGGATATCAGCAGCTAATAAGGATAGTGTCTGTTAACAATGATCGGAACAGAGGACACCGTGGAGTTCGGCGTAGGATATTGACGAGTCGTACGCCGTGGAATCGGAGTCGCGCGCGTGCGCGACAATCGCAGTTCGTCGAATTCGCTGATGGCAATGGATCGTCTCTCAGTAGAAGCTCAGCAAGGACTGGAAGGACTGGACGGAGCTGAACGGGGCAGTGCGAAGGATATTTGTGTGGGCCCCCTGCGGACTGTTTTATAGTTTTATGATGTGCCAATAATATTTCCGCCTTGGAAACCAATTGCGCTGCTCTGGCGAAGGATACGCGGGCAATTAAGACGTCTAAGGACCCATGACACGGTGCATTTACCATCCATAAACAGTCGACTCGTCTCAAGTCGCGTCTCGAGTCGCGCGAGCGAGCTGAGCAGAGCTGAGTGTCCTTGTCCTTGTCCCTGTCCCTGTCCCTGTCCGTCAACAAGACATCATTCTAATGCGAGACACACGCTTCGTCGTCGTCCTGCCAACTCCACCCTCAGGTAGTCCTTGATTCGTCCGTGGAA